ATAGAAATCAAATCTATTCTTTCTAGTAATGTTATAAAAATCATTTCAATTAATTATTTGTAACGTTATAATTTATAACACAATCTTAATCCTTAGTTATGGATAAAAATTTAAATGTTATTGAATACTGCATGAGAGGTATAATATATTAAGTCAAAGTTTAGCAAATAAACTGCTTTTCATGAACTATTATGTTTAGGAATATTTTTCTCCGACATATAATTATATCATTTGAATAGATTATACTTTTTTATGACCTTTAATATAGGTATTGCCAAAAGTATAATGGAGGGCATAATTTAATTCCTAGTTAACTCTTTATTGATATAAGACATGGCAGATGTAAATCCCTTTCTCCTTCATATTGACACAACATTAGCATTGAATAACTCTTTTAATTCTTATATTATTCACAACAGAATACTCGCAATAGACGACTGAAGGGAGAGATTGTTTGGGAGACAACACCACAAAACCGTTTGAAAGGGCACTCACATCCATATCAGTCGACCATTTATTAAATGATATAATATTATATAATCCATAAGCTTTCCAATACATTAAATAATAAATTAGTTTATTTTTCACATACCATATATATAGAAGTCATTATTTATTCGGTAGAATAGGGGTTAAGAAAATTGTTGGCAAACAATAAGAATTGTATGAATAATAGTTTGTATGCTTTGAGTCCTTATTCATAGTAATGGCTGTTTTAATGCCTAAATTACCCTTTGGTTTGACTGCACGTGTGGACACACACCGCACTCACCGACAGCCTCAGACTCAGTACCCCTTTATTGAGTCAATAACTCAAGTTATGAATAGACAAAAGCGGTGGTGAATAGTGTGAGCCACCACTTCCCAGCCTTGAAGTGGATTTATATAACCGACTCATTATTGCCTGAACATTTTTTTCAATATATCTCATTGAAGTTTACACTTATTTTTATTGGTCTCATAATTGTAGCGAAAAGTCAAACTCTATTTTAGGCGATAGGAAAGGGCAGGTGTGAGCTAACAGTACTTCACATCTCTTTAAGAAGTGGAGTATGTATTGAAAAATCAAAAAAGGTTTGGCCTATCATTGCCTACGAGTGCGGTCTTTATTTGGTGAAGGGGTCAACTCATGTGAAAAATCACTTTCAAATATCGCTTATATAATACACAATAATATTCGTTTAATAAATCATTAATATTTGGCATTCATTTGTTGTTATGATTTATATTGCATTATAATATGCCATTACATAATTTACGGATGAATAGATAAATGAAAAGGCCGTGAATTAATTTTATAATAAATATTAATATAATTTTATTTATCATTTCATTATTATTGTTCGCTATAATAGAAAACTTTTCAAGAAATGTAAGTCAAAACTGAACGATAGGTTCAGCGCACAAATATATACAATGAAAATGCATAGAAAATATATCAATAATACATATGAATATTGTATTTACAGTACAATACATAATAATATCCATAAAAGTTTGGCAAAATGTTTTTATAAATACATAGCAATATTCAAAAAAGCATTGATGTGTTTAAAAATTCAATTTATACACACGATGTGATCGCTTGTTTGTCAACAAAAGTATTTGATTGGTTTGTGTTGGACTCTAAATAGTGGTCATCAATCATAGGACAGGCATTTCTCGAGTCCATTGAGAGAATGAGCCGTACGTTGTGAATGGTGTGCACACATCGACACTCATAAATCACACTTACAGTACAGTTCCAAGCAGTTAGCGCTGGTAGCTGTTGGTCACACATAGCCCTAACATCTAGCTATTAATGCTATTATTATGATTATTGGCCGTAATATTAAAGGCCATAGTATTGGTTGTAATGCCAGTACTGCTGCACACAATGCCTTCATCACAATCGGTGCCGATTCTGCTGTCACTACTGTTCCCATCCATAAGGCTGTGAGCGCACCGGCATTTGCAGGCGTCCGACACACACTTTATGCCACTTTTCGTATCGGCCTCAACACCACCGCCCGAGTTGTCGACTATTACTTCCTTTTTATGCTTCACTCGTCTGTTTTGAAACCTAAATATAATATAAGAATTTGTTATTTATTATAATCTAATCAAATACTATTAAATAGTAGAAAGCCATTCACTATCAGTTGATTGCAATTCGCGGGTATAGAATATTACTATAAATTAGAGTCAGAATTGCATATAATGTGCGAGAAATAAGCGAATAGAGAGTGGAATGCAATGAGAATATAACACATAAATGCTTACCATATCTTAACCTGTTTCTCACTTAATCCCAAATAGTGTGCGATTTCTATACGCCGGAGACGCGATAAATACATATTTTTATTGAACTCATACTCCAAGTGAACGATTTGTGTGGATGTGAAGGCTGTGCGAAGTCGTGAGCATCGCTTTGAAGTGTCCAAATCGGGAGAGACGGGAGGCTGGGGAACAGTAGAACCTATATTTGTATTTCAATTTTAAATTATATGATTTTGCCTATAAATATAGCGTTTTAAAAAAATTTTGATGTTATATATTTTATATTAAATTGAAGTAATATGTTTTAAATTAAAATTTTATATTAAATTCAATAAAAATCAATATTAAATTCTCCTTAACATGAAATTCTTATTTGTATTAAACTGTTACAGATTTTAACATTAAATATAAGTCAATTAAAATTTTAATATAATTTATTAAATTTAATTAATTACATTCTACACTATTTTAAATTTAATTCACTATTATAAATATATTTCAAATTCAAACAATCAGATTCCTAGAAAGGTAAATAAAGTCACAAATTAATAAACGGTATTATAAAGGCCTTTCATTTTGACAAAAATAACTCAAACGAAATAACTGTAATACCTGAGTAAATCTAAGTTAAGGTTGTTTTCGTAATAAATAATTTTGATATAAATACAAAAGAAAATAATAACTGACATCCTTTATATTATCAATCTAATTATAATATTTCATTATATTCGCTATAATGTAATCTTAATTCCTAGAAAATAATTAGAAATATTATTTTGTAAACAAGAATATTCTCAAAGATTATAATTCACAAAGTCTTCAGTGAATTGAAGTCTGAATAAAAAGCTCATAGAATGAGTTCATACGGAATAATTCAATAGCAATGGTTACCATGAATTCAAATTGCAATTAAATACAGTAGCGCTGTACTCAACTCAACTCAACTAAAAAGAAAAATATATTCTGACTTTGCTTTTGGGGATTAATTGTTTTTAATAAATATACAGAATATAACATAAAATGCTTTCAAATCTCAAAATTAGTGTTATTGAAGAGCAACAGGTTATTACAGCGCTGTCTATACGGCATATTCAAGGGCTCAGACGCTAAACCTATTTGTAATACACTTCAAAACTCTTACAGACATAATTCAATTTGAAATCTTTTAAATTATTATAAAACTAATTCATGGAAAATAGGCTATAAAATAGGAATTTTTAATCAAGTCTTATAAAAAGGATGACTTCAAGGCGAATGCAATGATTTAGTAACATATAGTAGGCGTGCAATGAATGCCTCAATAGTTTTTACTCACGTTTGCCGTAATGATTGGCTTCTAATGAGTTTCTATTTAAAGAACTGTTGCCAAACAGTTGCCGATAATCGATGCCATGTTTACCATCACTGCCAGCCTTATGTAAGCCAACTGTCATCTCATTATCAACCTTTACATTCAGTAGTCTTTCCAATGCGTGTTTGGTGTCAATATCACGGCTGGCCATCAGGTGTTGTGCCGTTAGATTATTTTGCTCTTTACTCGCCTTAACCGACGTATTATTAGTGGTTAAGTCGAGCAATGAGTCGACAAAGAAAGATCTCGACATCACTTCAAAAGTCAAATGCGATTCAAAAATAAAAGAAATGCAAGAATTTGTATTCAAAATAGATTGGCGTTAATAGAGTTGTCTTGAAGTTGTCGCGAGTGAAGTCATAATCTCAATGTCGCACACCTTCACCACAAGTAGGCTTATCGGCCGGTAAGCGGAGTATTGTATTGTATGCCGGAGTGAGGAGTAGTGGCACTCGTATTGAGCACTAAGAGGCACATAGAGAGCACACAGAGGAGAGGGATTGCAAGACACCACTCATTGAGAAGATTTGTGAGGAGTGAAAAATGGTTGATAATAGAGTGGTGTATATATACCGTACAGTATTGCGAGAGGGATAGGGAGAGTGAGTGTGAAGTACTGGAAGCAGTTTTATTGGGGCCGATCACCGGCAGTGTATTTGTCACCCGAACACAACTCTCTCTCCAAACTATAAAGAAGTGTATTCTGGATGGTCTCCGCCCATCAATTTAAAAAGCATTGTCTGCCGGTGCTCTCCATTGTATGGCCCGTGTGTTCGCTGCACTCCTGTCCGAACCCCTAACTCGAAGCCAAACTCACTGTATGTTTGTTTGTATTCATTGAAATGCATGGGAGAGAGAGAGAGAGAGAGAGAGAGAGAGAGATGTGAAAGAGATTTGGAAATGAATTGCTTATACAGTAATGTCTATCCTTTTAGATGTAATAATATTTAGTGCTTTGCCTTCTCTATAATAATAATAGCGATTGAATGCAAACTATAAAGAAATGCGAAGACAAATACACAATCATTGTAAGCGCCGGGCGATTGTCAGCGCACCGGCCAATCAATGTAATAATTGGCCAACTTTTTGACAACCATTACTTAACACATCTTACTTTCAAACAAATTGTTAGACAAACTTTGCTTTAGTGTCGAGTGATGTCGAGTCCCAGTGATAACTGAATCCATGCACTCTCTTCGACACCCATCACCCATACCTGAGCGCACAATAAGTGTGTGTTATATGTAATAAACTATACAAACATGAATATGCATTGGATTTTGTTGTATTCCTATGATAAAGACATCTGCTCTCAAATTTCTCTAAACTGTTTTCAAATAATACTAATAATAATAATCACGACTACAATAAAAAAACTTCTCTAAACTGTTTTCACACGAGAGACTAAACGACGACAAACTCTTTTCTAAAGAATTATTGTCCAAAAAACTCGTAATAATAGACAAAATGGATTTAGAGGAGCAAAAAAGCTTTAAAATATTTCATACAAATATATGTAATATTAATATATATTACTTATATAGCGATGCATTGAATATAGTTTTAAAGCAGATGTAGTTCTGAACTCTATATTGTATTCCAAATAATATCTACAGAATTAGTATTATAGAGGATTATAATCAGTCATATATAAGGCACAGATAGAGATAGGATGAGAGAGAGAGAGAGAGAGAGAGAGAGAGAGAGAGTCTGTAAAAAACTTATAAGGATTGTGTGATTGGTCTGGGATGGTATGTCGGCTGTAAGGGAGAGTATGCATTGTTATGATCCGATTTCCAGTTCATGAATATGATTAAACATTATTTTTATTGAGTTCCGGATCTCATATGTCTCTCACTGTCTACTAGCGTATAGAGAGATGGTGTGTTTGGGCGCATAAAATGAGCCATCAATGTATGCAACAGTAGTCATATACTACTGACACAATAGCAGTCCAGTTGTCGCAAACAATTACCAATGGTCCATTTGTCAACACTATTATTACTTTCTATTATTTCTAATATCCAATACTGCATACTGTATAAAGTATTGTACTGTATATGCCGATGCTCAGGCTCTCTCTCTCTCTCTCTCTCTCTCTCGCTGGTCAGACCTGAAATTCATATCCATATTCATAGAGTTTTTTGTGTTGTTTTCCTACTGTCTAACAAAGAGTGAGGACAACTCTGTACTAACTGTTTGTCCTATACTATAGTTCTATACAAACACATCAATATGTAATGCAAAGCAAAACCTGATTTCACTTTATTGTGGGCCAACTATTATTGTCAGCAAAACTATTATTATCGATATGTTTAATACTTATTGTCCGCACAAAGCATCGATTCATATCAGCCCTAAACCCAAAGCCCATATGCATTGCACTCATAGAGTAGTGTATGAATTGGCATTCTTGTCGTCATTTCATATTTAAGTGATATTATTATTCTTCCCTTTATTTTCACCAATTATTTGCTTTCAATAATATTTTGCACTAAAAAATGCAAATAAATCCCAAATGCATTACCATTCAATCAACAATTCAAATGTCAATACAAACTCTTATGGAATTATAATAATAATTAAGGGAATAATAAAACACAAAATCCGTTCAGTCCTGACCGACAATATTATGTAAATCTCTCCACTAATCCTATCACTAAAAATTCCCACAAATATGTGATTTGGTTTTTTGTAAAAATAAATTAAAAAGTTCTCATTTGTAACTATAATTGTTAGACTGACTACCGGCGCACACACAATGTGTATAATTTATATTCTCGTGACTACACTACCCCTCACTACTGGCCTATTTTGACCCATTCATTGAGCCAAATATGCGACAAATTATTGTTTGCAAAAAAGGACAATCAAGTGAATAGAGTGAATGAGCGATGAGAGAGAGAGAGAGAGAGAGAGAGAGAGAGAAACAGTTAAGAGTATTGTAGTCCAACCCTATGGACACATAAAAGCAAAATTGTTAACAAAACAACTACTTATAGTCGATCGGATCACAAAAAGATTCAATTATTTGTAACCATACGTATGCTCTTATTATTGCTCACATATTAACCTTTAATTTAACAGTTAATTTGTCTTAACAATCAGTCAAACTATAGGTACACAAGAATGTTAAAAAGTGAACTTCTAAATAATATCTAACGATTGTAGTAAAATATCAATCTTAAAAATATAAGCAAAACATTTAATTAATCAATTCATTAAAAACATTAGAATGTCGATACAATAAATTATTACCGTAAACATAAAAAATGGATTAATGTGTTAAAAATCAAAAGCATTGTTTACAATAAAAATTGATATGAGATATAAAAAGAAAGAATACAAAAAAAAGTATAAAAAACAGATTAATTATACTGCTCTTCGCAACCCTTTAAAATTGGTGCGAATAAACCATTTCCTAAACCTTTCGACCGCTTGATAACTGCCGTAAACACAGACGGAAGCCTCGCCTTTGTCGGCACGGGTGGGCCATACGAACGCTGGCGTCAAACCGGTCTCCTTCACGCAATTGTCCACAAATGTTGCATATGTTGTCTCATTAGATATGAAATATTTGGTGAAATGTTCCGATATCTTGGCCACAAATACTTGGCGATCGGCCGACACAACAGTATTGGTGCGAACGCTGATCTGGTGTGCGACGGCATCCCTTAAACCGATTGCTTGCACTTTGAACTTAGCTATGAGTGCGGCCATCGACACCTTATCGACATCGTTGTGCATCCAGAGGTCGTTTTCATCATTATTATCACACATAATATCAATCAATTTATCAAACAATTCAATTATTATAGTTTCCGACACTCTATCGTCTGTCGTGTCATACTTCTCAAGCAATTGTTTGACAATACGGTCGATGTATTGATTGAATTTTTGTGTCAAATGTGTCGTCTCAATACAATAACTAATTATTTGTTTTATACAGTGTATTGGAATTCTGTTTGATTGTGCCATCAGTTCGTCCCAATGTTGAGTGCAATCATGTCTTTGTGAGCCGTTCCTGACGGCAAGTTTTGCCAGATATTGGCTCACAATCCAAGGAAAGCCGTAGTATTTATCACTGTTTTTACTGTTGATGTCGTGCGAGACCTGATACCAAGCGCTGGCTTTGGCTAAGCGCTGGGCATCGCAATCGACTCCACTCTCAAACTTCTCTTTAAAATCGTTAAACAATTTATATACTATATTGGATATCAAATCGTGGGTATCGTTGCTATCATTATGAGTGGACATGTATTTATGAGTTTTGGTGAACGTAGAGCTCACTAATGCGGCCTCACTCTCGATACCAAACTGTTGTTTTAAGTCATCTACGGCTCGCTTATAGAAATCAAACATATCTTCGGCGTCACTCCTATATTGGTCCGCATTCTTGTCAATCAATTTGGGATTCAATTCAAACAAATCCTTTCGTTGTCCACAAAACTCAGTGATAATGTCGTGAAAATCGCAGTTCCTTTGGTAGAGCTTTCCCAACGCTTTGTGGGACTCATATGTGTACCGTTCGCTGTATTTCATCATAAAGTCGGGATACTTATCGGATTTCTGGTCACTCCTAAGCCGTGCATTGATTCCAGTCTTGGCGTAGTCGAGTGCCACCGCGTATTTGTAGTCCAGATTCAGACAAATACCGTTGAATATGCCGTCCGGCTTGCGATCGGCCCAAACCAGATGGGATGTGGCGATGAGACCCACTTGATTGCAGGCAATGAAGCGCTCCATAAACTCCAACAAGTCTTCGGTAGTGACGGCACGACCCAAGTCTTTGGTCTCACCCGACGGGAAGTACATGGGATCCGCATTTTCCTTAGTAAATATCAAGTCTCTGAACCAAATAACACTGTATTCGTCGCCATCCAAGTCACTGCCGGCCATCTCGTCGGGATGGGGTCGCTCACCGCGCGCCGGGAACACCACACAGTCGACAATGTGGTGGAGGGCCGGCACATCCACTGCCTTTAGTTTGCGTACATCTCCCGGATGCATACACGGGTACTTCGTCACCAATATCTCCTGTTCCAGAATACATTTCCTATTCGTGAGGTGATGGCTGTACTGAACAAACACTTCGCCGTAATTCAAAGTGTTTGTCTCATCCAATACGCCGAACATCACTCTCCCGGAGTCCAATGGCACCAGAATTCGGGCCTTATTTCGCAAATCGAGACTCACTTTCTTGATGATCGACTCAATCATCTCCACGAAGAATGGCTCGTTTAAGACACCGATTCCCGAATCCAAGAGTTTCTTATAATCTAATCTCAGTCCGGAATAGTCTTGGATCAGATCAATGGCGTTGCGGTCACAGCCAAAGGCGTCCACCAATTGCTTGTGTCGGGTGAACAGTAGCCTTAAGAACACGTCGTTTTCGACTCCCATTTGATTGAGTATTGAAATGAGCGGTCGATTCAGATAACAACTGCGCTGTTCTCCCACTTTCAATACGTATAACTCTTTAGAGTCGGACTCAAACTTCTTCATCGACGGTCTCATCCGTATTCGTTTGCCGGCAAGGGTTGGGTTCACCACAAGAATGCCTTTACAGCCGGCGTATCGTATTTGAAATGTGGACACAGACTTGATGTGAAGCGTAGAGCAAATCTCTTTAGCCATGTCTTGGGATATCATACCCACGCCATCAGAGAAAGTGTACGGCTCTCCAGTCTTCGTATGAGAGCCACCGGTGATGTCGTCGATGAAGTCAACGCAATGGACGTCCGGAACAAAACCCATCGCTTGAGACATCGATTGACCGATTCGTGCGATATATTTGCCGGCATTTCGGATGCTATGCAAGTCGCCTATCTGTCGGCATATATGCTGCACATCCCGGTGCTCTGTATCGCGCGCGTACAACACAAACCCGTGATCCCGGAGCTGACTCGTCGACGCTCCTAACAGTTCATATCTTCTTCCAGCGATTTCGATGCCATTTATAATACGATCTGTGATAACGTTCTTCTGGAACTCGTAGATCTGTTGGACAATAGTATGCTCTTCGGGAAGGGATGTTCGGCACGCAGTGAATGTCAGTGTTTGGAAGTCCTCGTCTTTGATGATGAGTCGGATGACATACTCGGGATCAGCCGTACGAATAAATCGGCTCTCTTGGAGTGGGAGCGCCGGCAGCAGTAGAACACGAGTTGGCGTTAGAATACATCGACGAATGCATACAACAGAAGGGTTGGTCCACTTCTTCGGCTCCTTTTTGGTGTACGTGTGGAACGATTGGCGCAAATCTCTTATCGGATTCATATCCAGATTGTTCTCAATCTTCTTCTGCAGTTCATTCAACGAGAATTCAACAAATGTTTGGTTAATTGATGTCAACTCTAGCACTAAATCTACAAAATCTTCAAAAGTATTGCCATTGAATGCCAACGAATCCATCAAATAATACGAATGATTGGTCAGCGCTTCCAATGAATAGCGGACACCGAATGGCAGTTCAGACACACGACAATCCATAGACATTGTGTCCAACATGTAATCAATGGTATCGTAATCCTTCTTATGAATGACAATCATTGGATCAAATGCTTTAATATTGGCGATGATGTCCGACAGTGTGTCCATGTCTTGGATTGTTATTTGAATGCAATTACTTTTAGTGATAATCTGTTCATCAAAATCAAAGAACTTTTTGGTCCGCAATCGAAAGCCATCGAAAGGGTCCTGTAATTCACATTTCCAGTCAATGATATCACACATCATGTCATCCATTAAGACATCCATCTCTTGGTCTCTCCTGTCTTTATTGGCGTCCAAATCGTCGTCGTCGTCAACATCGCCATCGGAATAGTCGTTCACGTCTTCATTGATCACATGATAGAGAAGTGGAGGAAACATGAGTTTCATCACCACTTTATCGCCCATCACTGCCATGGATCTGATCTGCGAGTAGTTCACGACAAACTCGTATCTGTGAGCGTCAAACAGCCACTCCTCCATCACATCGCGCGTCATTTCGCGAGCCTTGGCCTCCGGATCCGATTCAAAGCCCTCGTCACTCGAACAACAGTTGGCCTCCACTTTGGCCACAACTGTGCGACTGGTCTTCAGTTGAATCAATACCTTCTTCTTGTGATTGACAAACAAAGCCCTCATTTCCAACACATCCATGTCTTTGGTCTTATCATTGATCCCAAAGTGTGCGACAAATGAATGGTCGCCGACAACGCATCCCAACGACAGTTGAGTGACGGGTGCCGTCAACTGTGGCTTCAGATCCAACTCTGTGAACATCTTTGGCACCAATTGTGTGATAATTGTGTCCACACTTTCACTGTCAATGAGATCACGAGTCAAATGACAAGTCGTTTGGTTTTTTCCTCACGAAACTCATTCAACACTACACCTACTGTTCACATACAACGTTACACATCCATTCAATCGCACAAAGTCACATGATTTGTGTACAGGCAATGTCTCGCAATTGCATGCATACAGGTTAGAGAAGTGGAGGAAACATGAGTTTCATCACCACTTTATCGCCCATCACTGCCATGGATCTGATCTGCGAGTAGTTCACGACAAACTCGTATCTGTGAGCGTCAAACAGCCACTCCTCCATCACATCTTCGCGCGTCATTTCGCGAGCCTTGGCCTCCAGATCCGATTCAAAGCCCTCGTCACTCGAACAACAGTTGGCCTCCACTTTGGCCACAACTGTGCGACTGGTCTTCAGTTGAATCAATACCTTCTTCTTGTGATTGACAAACAAAGCCCTCATTTCCGACACAACATCCATGTCTTTGGTCTTATCATTGATCCCAAAGTGTGCGACAAATGAATGGTCGCCGACAACGCATCCCAACGACAGTTGAGTGACGGGTGCCGTTAACTGTGGCTTCAGATCCAACTCTGTGAACATCTTTGGCACCAATTGTGTGACAATTGTGTCCACACTTTCACTGTCAATGAGATCACGAGTCAAATGACAAATCGTTTGGTTTTTTTCCTCACGAAACTCATTCAACACTACACCTACTGTTCACATACAACGTTACACATCCATTCAATCGCACAAAGTCACATGATTTGTGTACAGGCAATGTCTCGCAATTGCATGCATACAGGTGTACCTGACCCATGGGGTCATCAAAGTTACAGTTATATACATATTAGACTAATAACTACAAAAGTGTGTAAAAAATTACTTTAAACTTACAGACAATTTATTTGAAAACCAAACTATTGTCCAAATGATGTGAAAGCATACACACGGGTGGGCTATAAATATATTAATAAATTTCAATGCATTCATACAGGATATGGCAAAAGTGGTCACAAAACTTAAGTTTTCAAAACCAAAGTTTCAATGAAGCCTTTCTGTGGCCCGAAAGGCAACACCGGAACACAAGCACTTTGGCGGTGCTTAAGGAATATATTAATGAAATGCATGTCCACGGATTGGGATACAGGTGTTCAGTACAGATCTGGCAATTTTTCTGAGCGGTCAGGCGGGAACGGGAGTTATGGGCACTTAAAGTAGGTGAGCCTCATAATCTTTGCCCATAGAAAAGTCAACAATAATTTATAAATATAACAATGAAAATAAACTAAATTACTGTAAATCATATATAGACATATCCAGACCTATGTTTTAATGTTATGTTAAGTTTTAGTTACCTAATCAGTGTTTGCCATGTAACTGCACAAAGTCACATGATTTGTGTACAGGCAATGTCTCGCAATTGCATGCATACAGGTGTACCTGACCCATGGGGTCATCAAAGTTACAGTTATATACATATTAGACTAATAACTACAAAAGTGTGTAGAAAATTACTTTAAACTTACAGACAATTTATTTGAAAACCAAACTATTGTCCAAATGATGTGAAAGCATACACACGGGTGGGCTATAAATATATTAATAAATTTCAATGCATTCATATAGGATATGGCAAAAGTGGTCACAAAACTTAAGTTTTCAAAACCAAAGTTTCAATGAAGCCTTTCTGTGGCCCGAAAGGCAACACCGGAACACAAGCACTTTGGCGGTGCTTAAGGAATATATCAATGAAATGCATGTCCACGGATTGGGCTACAGGTGCTCAGTACAGATCTGGCAATTTTTCTGAGCGGTCAGGACGGGAACGGGAGTTATGGGCACTTAAAGTAGGTGAGCCTCATAATCTTTGCCCATAGAAAAGTGAACAATAATTTATAAATATAACAATGAAAATAAACTAAATTACTGTAAATCATATATAGACATATCCAGACCTATGTTTTAATGTTATGTTAAGTTTTAGTTACCTAATCAGTGTTTGCCATGTAACCTACCCAACCTACAAATATTACAAAGTAATTTAATTTAATTAAAATTACGATTTTGTCACCCAATTAGTGTTCTGCGTGTGACCTAACCAACCTAAAAATTATTACCAAGAAATTAATTGAATTAAAATCAGTATTTTGTGGTCTAATAGGTGATGGTAACGGTGCGCCGCATCATTACAGCGATTAGTCTATGATTGAGTCCAGTGTTCATAAAAATAGTCTTAATTGTAATCCGAGTCTCGCGAGAGTCATATTGTTTAACAAATTATTGTTCACTTTCCTATGGGCAAAGCCTATGAGGCATACCTACTTTAAGTGCCCATAACTCCCGTTCCCGACGTGACCGCTCAGAAAGAAGACCAGATCTGTACTGAGCACCTGTATCCCAATCCGTGGACATGTATTTCATTGATATATTCCTTAAGCACCGCCGGAAGTGCTTTTATACCGCAACACCAGATGGCGTGCGGTCTCTGTGTTTGTGTAGTGTTTTTGGGTGTGTTTGCAGTGCTTTGCAGTCATTCACTGAATCACTGACTCACTGATTGACTGCCCTTTAAATCTGTCAACAATTTAGTTAATCATCACAACTGTCACCAACACTTCCCACATACCCATCAAACACTGCATTTAGTTGATCCCAAAGTGATAGATAATGGACAGCGAGGGCCGTAAGATAATCGTGTGCGACAACGGAACCGGTGTAAGTGTGATAATCGCTAAACTTAGCCATCGATGGTTAAAAACTATTTCATTTAACGACCTGTTCATTGATTACGCGTACAGTTTGTGAAGTGTGGTTATGGAGGCTCTTCCGGATCCAACTTTCCCTTACATACCTTTCCATCGATCGTTGGCCGGCCTATCATTAGAGCCGCGCAAAGGATAGATGACATCGAAGTGAAAGTATCTGACA